CCCGAGTCTGAGCTGATTCATTCAAGACAACAGACGATGATATGGAATGAAGAACACTGCCTTAACATCGCTCCAGGCCAGAACCGGAGACCGGAATGTATAATATATGACACTCACGCGGAGGAGCTGTCATTCCCAGCGATATATTTAGGCCACGCTCGGAAAATACAATCAATTACTGGGGATAGAATTCAAGCGACCGCATACAGTATGTGCATGTCGGAAATTAGGAGAAGTGATCGACGAGGAGTGACTCCTCTGCATGTAATCTATATGGCTATGAAGATTCTCCGACTTCGAGTTCGAGATGGAGTTCAGAACATGTATCGATGCCTGCGGAACACAGAGAACATCACCCGCAGCCTGATAGATGACCGTGAATTCGTTGAACGTCTAATAGACACCAATCAGGCTTTCTTAAAAACGATTCCGAACTCCGTCCAATATTGGTGTCGTCGTAAAAAATATTTATTCGCAATGATCCGTCAGCTCCGCAAACCAACAGCGTTCCTGACCGTCAGTGCAAACGAAATGAGATGACCTGATCTTCTTCGAATCCTACACCGACTTTCGGATGAGTTCAAACCCCTCGGTGAAGATATTAGTTTAAACGAATCTTCGATAAGCTCGATAGATATAAAAGAGCCCATCTAGTCTCTGAAGATCCTGTAGCATGCGCGATCTGTTTCGACAAACTGGTTCATGTCCTTATGTCCATTCTAACATCGAAGAAACCGATCTATGCAGTGTAGATAAGCGCGACCTGACTGACAACGAAATGATAAGGAATCAGACGCATGCGCATACTTTCACCTGCACGAAAAGAGGAGAACAGCAGTGCCGGTCCAATATACACTATTGGCCGATAAGACGAACGAAGATCCTCCTGCCATTGAGCGAGGATGACAATAGACGCGAGATTCTCAGAACGAAAGTCACAGACGCACGAAAGGAAGTGGAGAGCAAAAATTACGATTCAATTGACGCCTTCCTCGTTGATATAAATTGCGTCTACTTGAGACAAGACTGATCTCCAAGCCAGAATGGAATTCCAATATAACCTTCAAGCACTTTTATCTTGATTGGGAATGAATCATTTCGAGTTCAAAACATTAGTCAGTCGATATAAGCAGAACAACACCGGATGTATCTAACGTTTTCACGCCTAACGGTAGTGTCGAAGATACTACCTGCCACTGTTTTTTTTAGTTCAACATAGATATCTCAGAACTCCTAGTCCCACATCCCAGGAATGGCGAGTCAGTTTGTCTAAAAGCCGTGAAAGCAAGCCGACAGAGTAACTGATGTCGCCTCTGCTTGCTATGGCAGCGAACATTGAAGCTCCTACCAATTCACGGCACTTCAAGGTCACATCCACTTCTCCTTCGAGTGCGGACCTTGAGGTTGCATCGATTGGGATTGGGGATGTCTTACAGTTCACCATTTGCAATATCTCCAAGAGCTCATTGATGTATTGAGAGTATTATGGTGGTGGAGCTTGATTCAAAGGAGGCAAAACCGACAAGTCTCAACGTGCCTGTAGCCGGCTCTGACTGCGCGCTCCTTGGTACTGTCGTTGGCACTCGGGTGAATGCCAACCTTAAGCTGGCGTGTACCGAGTCGGCATGGCGCTTTTATTGAACGAGTTGATTGTAAGGCTTCAAATCGGGGGTGATTAGACAGCGGCCCGTCGGGCTTTCCCCTGCGGCCCGCGAGCCGCTTCCCAACTTACTATAGGGTGCGGCCCTCGAGCAGCCTTTCGAATATTTATGTGAAATACGATACGGTATCCGCCCGATTCT